CATGAAAATGCCATCCAAGAACATAGACGTGTTCGTCTCTGCCTCCTGATCATTCCTATACCCATCATTGACCTCAATTTATCCTGCATCAAAAATGCCTAAAAAGCAAGAACAAGAACCCTAATTCTGGATACGGGGTTATAAGCCATAAAAATAAAATTAAATATTACAGAATCGTTGGAAATTGAATGGTGAGTATGAATGTACAAGAAAATTGGCAAGAGGATGCAAGAAAATGATTTCACGATGCCATGTTCAGAGCTTGGTTCGTGATGACTTACAGTGCAATATAGGCAATGAGAAGGCTTGGTTTTGATTGGTATCGCTTTAGGGGATGGCAGGGAAGAGAGCTACGTCAAGCTTTTGCTTTGTATCGAGCTCCAAGATGGATTTCAGAATTCAAGTTTCCAAGCTTTTTTCCAAAGTTGTTCTGGCCATTTCAGCAGTATCTTGTGCGTGTCTTTGGTCTGGCTTGCTTGCACATGTATATTAGAAGTGAATTAGGTCAAGAGTTAGGCTTTTATCCAAGTGCATTCAAGGTTTTGAGATTTGATATGATCACCTTTATCAAGTTTCCAAATATAGGCCAAATTTGATTTTTTTTTGTACATAACCAAGCTTGATACGAATTTGATTTGGTTCATGATGATAATTGAAAGTTGTACAAATCACAAAGATATTATTTCATCAATTTTTAGATTTTATTTGATTTAATATTGATTAAAAATGAATTAAATCAATAAAAATTAAATAAAATAGAAAAATAAATGAATGGCCATGAAATCAAATATGGGACACGTGTGTGGCATGACAAGACTATATGAAGTGGAAAAAGTGGGCCCTTTTGTCAAAAATTGGAGTTTTGAGGATAGTTGACTTTTGGCAAATTTGAAAAAATGCCCAACTTCAACAATGCATAACTTCTTCAATTTTGAACTTTTGTAGATGTTATTGGACTTTTTAGAAACCTTGAGATGTACTCTAATCAATACTTTTGGTCTCATCTCATTTTGATGTTCCATTCTCAAGTTATAAGCTTTGGCAAAAAAGGTGTTTTTGTTAACTTTCAAAAATGACCTATAATGTCCAAATTAGTAACTTTTTGTGAGAGAATTTCTTGATCTTGGGGTGTGAAGATGCATTGTAGGAAATTGCATCCTCTTAAAAATGAGCTTTGGATGGGTCATTTCTCATAAAATATGAGAAAGTTATGCTTGGTCAAAGTTAAGTTGACTTTTCCTACAAAACCCTAATTTAGCAACTTTTGAATCTTGATGAATTTTGAACAATCCTTGATGAATCATGATCAACCCTTGATCAAATGATGAATTATCCTTCAAAATGATAATTTTGACAAAAAATCTTGAGGTTTGACTGTATTTGGGACACAATTGACTTTTGCCCTAGCATAATCGATTTTGGACCTCTTGAGCAATTGACTGGCCAAACTTCCTCTGCAAGGCTTGAAATTTGTCATGGATGAACTTAAGAACATATTAAGACATTGGGAAGAACTTGAGGCCATTTGGATGTAAGGACCTTGATACAACACAAAACCCTAATTTTGAATTGACTGCTTTCGGAAGTGATTTGACTGTCAAATTCTTGAGCCATTTTGAACAACTTGAAGATGATTCTTGACATGTCTTGAGAAATATGGGAGGACAAATTTTGGGGTACAACAGTAACCGATTACCATATCAAAGGTTGCAAAACGAGTAGCTTTTGTCTTGCGGTAATCGGTTCCCATAAGTGAGTGACCGATTACCGTGATGAATTTTAAAAATAAACAAGGCTACTGTCCCGCGGTAACCGGTTACCATAACTGGGTAACCGGTTACCACTGTTACTGACAGCAATTTTGGAAAACTTCTAAAACCCATAACTTTTGCCTCGGGTGTCTGTTTGACACGCCGTTTGGATCGTTGAAAAGATAAATTAATTTTCTATTTTATAAAAATGATTTATAATGCAGTAGTTAATCATTTCATCAACATTGATACCGATTCGTAAGTGTGTTTTGATTTGTATGCCATGAATTATGTTGTGGTCATTTGCGATGATTGTTTTGACTGTGTGACGCGAGTTATATGACAATGATGATGACAAATGACCTGTATTGGCAAAATTGTGATGAATAGCAGTGATGAATTCAAAGTATATTGTTGCATGATAGTGTCTCATGCATTCATAAAACGAAGGTCTGTATTGGCGAGCGAATGCCTGTATTGATGAGCGAAGTTGATTGCCCTAATTGGCATTATTGCAAAGAGGGTTTTGCCCTGATTGGTACCATATGCATTGCATTAGTGTCAGTCTCTTGCATCATATTGTGATTGATAAACCGATGGGTGAAGATGATGAAAGTGTGTGTTATATTATGATGTATGTTATGTGTTGATTATGTGCTTGAATTTTACCTACTTATTATTATTATTATTATGTTTTCTCTTATATTGTTATGATATCTCATCCTTTGTGTTTGAATGTTACCTCCACGTGGGTAACATACAAATGACCCGAAGTAACTAGAGATTGAAGGTTAGCTGAGGAGTTCCTTCAGTTGTGCAGATTGAGTCGGTGTCTGCTCTGATACGTAACACTTGAGGGTTTTGCGTGATTTGTTTTGTTATGATTAGGAGTGAACATGTATTACTCCATTATTTTAATTGTCTTATGATTATGCTGATGTGTGAAGGATAATAATTATAACTCCAGTTGGAGGTAGGGATGGCAAAAAAATCCGTATCCGCGGATAAAATCCGTTACGGATATGAGATGGATAACTTAATGGATATCTGTAGATAAAATAAATGGATATTTAGATATCCGTTATTTAATGGATATGGATACGGATTTAATAATATCCATACCCGCGGATATCCGCATCCGTTAATTAATTATAAAAATTATTTAAATATTTATATATTTTACTAAGTCTTGTCATCTTCCAAAAGAATTTGGTCTTTTTTAAATAAGTTTTAATAATTATTTATATATTTATATATTTTAATAAGTTTTTGTTACAATGATTACTTATAACAAGTTAGTTTGTTTTTGAAGTAAGACTTATTTTGGTTATAACATTGGAGATGCAATCCTTGTACTGCCTTTTTATGATTTATTACAAGTTAATGTTAAATTTTGGATTAATTTTTAGACTATTGTACCTTTTTATAGCATAGTTAGTGTTAACACTTAGAAAAATTATAACTATTTAGAATTTGAATATCAATTTCGTACTACAAATTTTGTTTAACTATAACAATTCATTGCTTCTTAAAAAAATTATAATCACTTAGAGTTTAACTTATTCTTTTTCTTTTTTCAGGTTATACAAAATCAAAAGCCAAAGTCATTGAAATTAATTCAGTATTGAAAGATATGGATGCTGACATTGTTAGTGAAATGTTAAAGATTTCATTTTAAATATTATTATTATGTTGATTATTTAGATTTTTATTTGAATATTTTTATGGTTTTATTTCAGGAGCTAGGAAATCAAAGTGGAATTGTTGAAGCAAGGAATGCATAATATGGAATTTTACAATGATTGATGAAAACTATCTACATCATTACTTTTTATTTTGTTTGGAACAATTATTATATGCTATGATGAATATTGTTTTGATTAAAAATTATGGATATTCTATATGGATGTTATTATGTTTTGGTGAAAAAGACAAATATTAATATGATGAAATTTTGTTATTAAATTGAGACTAAATTGTATAAATGTTATATGATAATAATTTTTTTGTGTCTTTAAAAAAAACTGAAAAAATATTTAAAAAATAATAATTTTAGAATAAAATGTTATCCACGGATATCTGTAAATATCCGCGGGTATCTTAAAACCCGTGGATTACCCGCTTAGTAGATATCTGCATGGATATGGAGTTGATATGAATATCATATTTATCCAACAGAATGGACACGAATATCATATTATCAGTCCCCATGGATATCCATTTACATCCTTAGTTGGAGGATCGAGATGACTATTTATTGATGCTTTTTGGCTGCGAATAAATGCATTGAAGTTTAAGACTTATGAGTATGTGATTTGTGTTGCGTATCATAATTTGAGCATGTATGATTAGCGGAGTGTGTGACATCATATTGATTGATGTTTATTTGGAAATTAATTCACTCTGATTATTATATAAATTACCGACGGGAAAATAAAGTGTGACAATGACCATCTAAACTGAAATACAATTCATGATTATGTATACCACAAATCTCATTAAATATCCATGAATTATTCCTCAAAAGTACCCTCAAAACTTAAAAGTACATTCACATTTCCTCAAATTGGTGTCATCCCGTTTCAATTTTTGGATAAGTTTTTTGTAGTTGTCATTTCTTTCACGTCTCGCTGTCACAAATGCTGATTTTCTATCAGAATCGGAATCTGACCTCCCGATTACAATGTTGAACCCCAATTTTACAGTTTCAGTGTGAATCCATTAAAATATATGTTCACAAACAACAAACTTCTATTTATTTATAAGTTTTTTACCAACATCTACCTCAACATCAATATATTTAACACCCATAAACACAATAGCTTTTGATGCAACGCTAGGGTGCACCATAGCTACAACCAATCATTACATAATTAAAAATTAAAATTCAACATAAAACAGTTTGAAATTAAACTTCTGGAACATGCAACATAATATAGAAATTATAATCCAAACGCAACGTTCATTTTTCAATAACTAAATTAGATGCTTACATACAATTAAAAAAGGAAATACACGTACATTATTTTAAATTTATGTTTCTTTTACTAATTTTTTATGTCAAAAACAAAGTGATTTTGAAGTACAAAATTTAATTCAGAATGTGCTTAAAATAAAAACTTTTGTTTGTTACTAAAAAAAATACATTTTCTTTTTCCAAATAAACGGGGATGCCAACTTCCAGCTTATGATTAAACATTGAATTAAAAAAAAAAAAAAAGAGCTTATGATCAAACAGTAAAACCAAAAATGCAGAGCTTATTTCGCAGGCTGACGGTGGTGGCACGCCAACCCAACCTCTCCTTCAATTCTCACCGCATCTCTCACACTCATCCTCAACCTTCCAATCTAGGGCATCCCATTCCCTCTTCCTCCGGCATTCATCATTTTCACTCATGGCGCTCCTCTCTCTCCCAACCAATGGCCGTCCAACAGTTCTCGTTCCTCTCGCGCAACTATCTCTCCGCTTTATTCTCCAAAAGCCTCCTTGTTCGTACTCTTCCCAGAGTTCATTTTCATCGGCAGAACTTCACTTTCAACCAAAACTATAACTCTTACCGCCGTACTTGGTAATTTTCCGTCAGATTCCATATCACACCAACACCACAACCGCCTCGTTTATTGTTTTCTTTTTGGGTTTACAAATTGCAATGCTCATTTTCACCTTTAATTTTGTCATTATAATTCGGATTTGGGTTTCATTAGGGTTTCTGAGGTTTTTGCTTCTCAGCTGTATTTCCAATTTTGAAAATCCAATCTTACTGCTTAATTCTAATGCTTTTTAGAATTCACTCTTTTTTATTCTATAATGTACTAAAGTTCAAATGTTGTATCTATTGTCATAACTTCTAATTTATGTGTCTATACAGTGCTTTTCATTTCCATTGCAATTTGAAATTAGTGACCTTGTATTTGTGCATGTAAATTGGATATATGGCGAGATTAGACAGAATAAGACTAGAAATGACTATATTAGAGAGAGTGGGGGTAGCACCTATAGTAGAAAAGATGGTGGAAAATAGACTTAAGTGGTTTTGGCATGTACAGCGAAAACTTGTAGATTCTGTGGTAAGTAGACTAGATCAGATGGAGATGAGTCAAACATGTAGAGGTAGAGGAAGACCTAGAAAAACTATAAGAGAAGTTATTAAGAAAGATCTCGAAATTAACGATTTGAATAGAAGTATGATCCTTGATAGAACATTATAGCAGAAGTTGATTCATGTACACGATCCCACTTATTGGGATAAGGCGTGGTTGTTGTTGTTGTTGTTGGATTTGTGCCTGTAAATTAAACTGGAAATGGAAGACAATCATGCACAATATTATTGATGTTTCTTTGACAAAATGTTTATGGCTTATGCTTGGGAAGCTCTGAATTTTCTTGCCACTTTCAGCTTCTATAGATTAGTGGCATACAGATAGAAAATATTTACACCAATAATACTATGCAGAAAATCCATGATTTTTTTACTTGCTTGTTTCGACTGCTTTCATGTTATATGGCATTTCGATAATATATTTTGGCCTTTTTGCAGGAGATCGTGGTTTAACAGGCTAACACCAAATGATGTGGTTCTGGGCTTGATTGTATCTAATGTTGCTGTTTATTTATTTTGGAGGATAGCAAGTGAAAAGTTTATGCTAAATAACTTTACTGTGAGTTTCTTCATTTATGGACTTTATTTAACATGATGATGCTTGTAAATATATTTGCTTGGCCTTTTCTTTGTATGTAACTCCCACCCACTATTGAGTTTATCAAATGTTTCTGAGGAAAGTCCTCAATAAGGCTGTATGGTTACGGCATGATATATTACTATTGTCTTAGTAGTTTGTAGATGTATCAATATTCTTACCTTATTTTTATTGAAGAAAGGAAGTGAACAAAACAATATTTGTATCCTCTAAACAATTCCTAATAGCCAGAGTATCCTAATTTTCTAGTTGAAGTTTATGTTTTGGAGATACCCTCAGGCCAAATTCATGCCTGATGCATATAGAATTAGTGTAGAATCTATCAAAGTAATAATGATTGCTGGATTGGCACTTTACCAGCTTTGAAGGATGGAATTAGTAAACGTGTTGTTGTTTTGTAGTTATAGTCTGTGGATTTAACTTCATCTAGAGCGCTGACTAGTTTATTTTCTGTTAACAGATCTCCTTGGACAATATTAAGAGTGGACGCTTCCACACTTTGATCACCAATGCATTCAGTCACGCAGATACCTGGCATTTAATATACAACATGATTGGACTCTACTTCTTTGGAGCGAATGTGCGGTTCCTTGTTCTTGAATTGTATTTTTTTAATCATTATTTCTCTCCTTTCCTTATCTTAGCAGTATTTTGTTTTGGGCTGGTGTGTAGACTTGCCTTCTCCAAAACACGGAATAATATGTCACATAGTTATGAAATTTTGAGTCTGGTATTTAATTCGAAATGCAATAGTTTTGACAAGAAAGATATAACATCTGAAGTTCTTAGGTATTCTAGATTATCAGGCATTCAGGCTTGTAGGTGGCACTTTCAGATTTTCTGTCTCTTGAAAACTGTTTGTCACTTCATCACCAATTGGTTTATCTCGAACCACTTCATTTGTCGATAAATGGTTTATCATAAATATACTGAATATAATCCTAATAATCAGTAATTGCGCAACAAGTTTTTAGTTATAGATAGTCTTTTTTTCCCAATCACTTTTGGCTTTAAACATGCCAAAATCAACTTTATATCTTGCTATGTTATGCCATTTCATGCATTCTCTTTAGTTTTCAGTGTTATATGACTAGATATGCCTATTTCATATTTTTATTTTTTCTGTTTATGTACTTGTTTGGACCAGTTTCATTCATTTTCTAATTTCTTGGTATCACTGTTACTACACCAAGTGAAATATTGAGTTCGTAGATTAAAGAGTTTCTACTATATGTTGGGGTTTTTTAATACAATACAATTTAAAGACTGGTTTTACCACTAGCCATCCCCTGAAATTCTCGTATGACTGATTTTTTTTTTTTCCCAAATTTTTGGAGTTAATGTATGTCTCTTTGATTTTCCATACTTTGTGGCTACACACAGGAACATATAACTTGACTTGTTAAGAACATCAGGTTGAGTATGTCAGATACTATCAGTTAACTGATAAGTTTTGCTGTTACATGTTTTGTTTTCATTAATCTTTTACTCTTTCCAATTGGGCTTTGAGCAGATTGCAAGTCAATTTGGACCTGAATTTCTGCTGAAGCTATATCTTGCTGGCGCAATAGGTGGTTCTATTTTCTATCTGGTGCATCAAGCTTACAAGGCTCAAACTTCAAAGGTCCATTGAGATTAGAAATGACACTGCCTGTCCACTAATTCTAAATCTTTCACTTAAAAAATTTCTGGGTGAATAAAAGGAACAAAATCTTGATTTTTAGCATCCACCAGATGCTAGAAAAGTTTGTAATTAATATGCTACTTCATTCTTCAATCTCAAACCTTTGATATATGGATTTCTCGATTTTACTTTAAAAGTTTTAAAACTATTTTTTTGTTGTTGAGAATATGTATGGTTTTAGTATACAAGTGATGATAAACATTTTGTAACTAAGGTGCTTAGTGTATATTTTGCTAACACATGAGCAAAAGTTAATATTTATACTCTTGGTTGGAACGTATACATCTTTTGGTCGAAAGACTATGAAAGATGTGAAAAATACTCATCAACATTTTATTATTGGGTTTTAACGTTTCTCTGCATTTTGTTTGCAGCAGGACTGGAGAGCTATCAACTCTTCAAGGGAATTTGCGTTGGTGAGCTTATAGTAACTATTCTAAAACCAGCTTCCCTTCATCAGGGAGCGTAGGACACGGGGAGGGAGGATACATATTGCAATTATTGATGTTCTTGGCTTCACTTGTCAATTATGATTTATGAGCAATTTATTTTCTTTTATCACTTACGGCATTAGTTAAACTCATATTAATTTAACCAGAACATGCCAATGATTAGGGAGCAAGTGGAGCTGTGAATGCAGTTATACTGCTGGACATATTCCTCAATCCAAGAGCAACTTTATACTTGAACTTTTTTATACCAGTTCCTGCGGCGTTGCTGGTATGCTGTTCTTTACTTTATGCTAGGTCAAAAAACTGAAATTTGTTAGTTGGAGACTCACATATCCTTTTTTTCTGTCTTGTAAATTATGATTAATGAAGGGTATCTTTTTGATCGGGAAAGATTTGCTGAATATAATTGAGGTATTATGGACTCTGTCAAACTTATTAACTATCATGTTTACACTTTTTTTCTTAACACTTTCCATCTCAAGTAGCTTAATTGTCCAGAAAGGATTGCCAGACTCATACCTACTCTCTATGATATTACCATAATTTCTACAAATTTCTGAGATTTAGTGTACTAAAACTATCAAATTGATCTGTAGGGAGACAATACAATATCAGGATCCGCACATTTGGGGGGTATTGCAGTTGCAGCCATAGCATGGGCACGAATTCGGAAAGGAAGATTCTAAATCTTTCTTTGACACCTCCACAAAACTAATATTTATTTGTTAGTTATACTATTCAATCAGTTATTGATGCTATAACAAACCATTTGTTATCATTTTTAATTAGCAACCATATATTAGGTAAATTGATTGGGTTAGACTGTTATAAAAAAACCATTTATTTTGTCAAAAAGAAGCTATTAGTTTTGATTTAATTAATAGAGCATATACTCCACATTTGCATGTCATTTTATTTCAAAAATGTACGCACATACTAGTTTAAAAAAAATCTGTTTTTTGTTTGTTTAAGCGGTGCATCAATAATATTAAGTCTTTTATTCTTGAAAAGAAAATACTATTCTATCATATGATAAAAAAATGTTTCTTCCCCAGTTATATATACTTTTAAAACATTTTTTTTAAAATTTCATTGAGCCTGTAAATTATATTAGATCTAACTTGAAATTTTAGTTTTTCTAATACGTTGGTCTATTTTTTGAGCTGTTGAACCAGTTCAAGTTACCAAACTGAATTGAGTTGTTCGCTAATTTTAATGGAGTTGAATTTGAAGAGAGAAAAATCTGTGATGAATTTGAATTAAATTGTGTTGAACCAAATTCATTTCGTATTGATTCATTTTTCTTGCGCAAAGTAAGATTTTTTTTTCTGTAACTAATTTTTGTTCGAATTCATAGATTCTTTATCTGCAATTCATGTATATGAATGATGATGTTATCATTTTATAAGAGGGTATTATTCAACAAGAGAATATATGTATATGTGCCTATTTTTAATATGACTGCACGAGTTTAATTCAAACCAAATATCAATATATTACACAGAAGTGTTTTTGGAAAGAGCATGCAATTATATATATATATATATATATATATATATATATATATATATATATATATATATATATATATATATACGAAATTGATATGAAATTGATAAATAATCAGTATAAAACATTATCAAACGTGTAACACAATGTATTAATAATAATGAATGTGATACAAGATCAAAATTTTCAAGTGTCTTCTTTAGCGTCACAATTACATAACACAGCACAATAGAACTCCCGATGACGCAAACGCATATGCCTAGGTTGGCGATAAAAATATCACCACTCAATCCAAAATGAAAATATTGTCATAACACGTGACACAACTACAACAAGAACTGAATTTGCAAAAAAAAAAAAAAACATACATACATTCAACTCATACGCGAAAGTAGGAAATAATGATACCAAAGCATGCTTGTGCAATCAAGAACAAATTTATACAAATGATAAAGAATTAATATATGAAATCATTATATGCATATAAATTAAAGACAGACAGTGGCTGTCAATTGAAATTTTTGGAAATGAACATTCATGGATTTTATCATTTTAAGCATATCAAGCACTTGGAACATAAACAACATGCAATAAAAAAATCTTACTGTCAAGGAGAAATTTGGAACAATATTACCTCAATCTTGATGAAACTGAAGATGCACTCACATGATATTAAATACTCAAACAAAGGTTAGAACAAATGTATAAAAGTGCAAACAAAAAAGAAATTAAGCAATATTTGAGAAATCAATAATCTCCAATTCCTCGTGTTTCTTGAAAAACGGTTCGGTTGCAAAAAATTTGTGAAAATATCGACAAGTTGATTTTCACTATCAAAATGCTCGAACACAACATCTATTTTTTCAACGTGATCGCGAATGTGATTTCCCACGCATGTGTTCTTTCCTTCGTTACTTTATTTGAAGTTCGAGAAAGTAATTCAACTCCCCATAAGACTCATTTCAAATTCTTTCTGCATAAACTTATAAAACTCTTTGACAAATTGCATGTTAGTATAAGCAAATATGATATAATATTAAATGTGTGATGTTTAATGAAGTTAAACATGCTTATGTACACACATAAATGTTTATAAAATAAAATACATGAAAATATAAATGATGAGGTCATTTCAAATATATAAACTAATAGTCACCATGATTATCAATTAAGAATTATTTTGCAAATGAATATATATATATATATATATATATATATATATATATATATATATATATATATATATATATATATATATATATATATATATATATATATATATATATATATATATATATATATATATATATATATATATATATATATATATATATATATATATATATATATATATATATATATATATATATATATATATATATATATATATATATATATATATATATATATATATATATCATACACCAAGTATGTCATGTACTTAGAAAAATATACAAGTAAAAGAGAGAGCTTACTAATAAAGCAAAAATTTAATTGATACTACCTCGTCGTACAAAATGACGGAGGATGCACTTACATCTCACAAGGAACTCTCGAAAGAAAGTTGAACCAAATATAAAATATGTCACAAAGTCTTTAGAAAACCACGATCTAACAACTTTTCAATTAGACAAAGTACACAAAAGTATAACTTAAGATGAATCCAAGAAGATCATTGATTTGATGATCATTCATTTTTATTGAACTTTCATCTTTATTCTTTTCATGATAGTTATCTTTCTTCTCCTCATGTTTAACCGATTCGGGTTGATCAATTCCTTCTTCAGTGTCATTGAATATGTCTTTTGAAGATACATCTACATCATGAAATGAAATACCTTTTCTGAGTATTCTCAGATACAACATCAAAAGTAATTTATGTATCTTTTACCAATTAAACAATACTTGTTGTTGCTTTCTAGATCACATAATCCATCTTCTTGCCACATATACAATTGGATTAGAATATGTTACCCATTATATGCCTTGAGCCACCATAAATGAGAATACATATTCTCTTCATAGAGTCAAAACAATTTTTTTACAAAATCAACAAGACAAGTTAGTTACCCAATCTTTATTGGATCCTTGGGGGTTAGTGAAAAATTGGTTGCGTTTGGGCAACCATTGAAAAACACCTTTAGGAACAAATAAAACTCCTAAATTTCAATTTTTCAATAGTGTGCCCTTTCTTGCAACCATAGTGACGATTTAAATCTTCACCATCATTAGAATTACTATCAATGTACTCACCTTTTGAGAATATTGAACAAGAAGTTCTAAGAGCTTGAGACTTCGTCCCTTCCTCCTTATTCGTGACTTTCTCCTTTTTATTCTTCTTCTCAAGTTTTTTCTCATGCTTGTCTAAGTAAGTAAGTTCTTGCTCATGTTCTTCAAACTTACCAAAAAAGATAGTGAGATTAAGTATTGTAAGATTATTGACTTCCTTGATCGCGGTGACCTTCGATTACCAATTCCTAGTAAGACATCTCACAACTTTGTTAGTAGCAATTGCATTAGAAATAAGATTACCAAGTGCATTCAAACGATTAATGAGATTTAATGTATTTTTCTTATCATCATTATTCCATAGTGCTTCTGGCTTAGGTGTGACAATTCCATTAGCATCGGTTTGAGTAATAGCTTCACACATACCCTTATCACATGAATTAACATGAATGTGCATACAAGCTTTCCAATAACTATAGTTTTCTCCCTAAAAGTTTGAGGCTATTTTGTAACCCCTTTAGGTTCATACGCCGTTTTCTAATAAGAGTTTCGAAGCAAGAGATTAACGGAGCTTTGATACCACTTGTTAGACTACGATGACTTATCTAGAGGGGGTGAATAGATTCCCAATTAAACAATTAACTTTCATATATATGTATTTAAAAATTTATTTGAAAAACAATGTTGAGCGAAAGGTGTTTGACCTAGATCAAAATAGTAGTCTAAACGAACCTAGTTATTAGAAACTCGTATATGCACAAGTCATATGGAATTAAAATAATGATAAAATAAATCAACATAATAATATCTCAATTAAAAATTTAATATCAAACACAACGGTTTCCTATTTCCAATGAAATTAAACAAAAATGTAGAACTATGCAATTTGACAAACACTTGGTGTGCGAACAAATTTTCTGATTTTTTCTTTGAGTTTTATTGATATGAAAAAAACACTTATAATCAAAGTGATTGTAAGATAATCAACAACCAATTTAAACCAAAATAATTACAAAAAAACTTTTATGAGTCGATCAATTAAACAATGAAATTCAACAAATTGCTTAATGAAAGTAAATGAGATTAAGAGATAGAGAGAAAGAGAGCGACACGAGGATTTATTTGAGAAATCTCGTCAACCATCCTAGCTATGGCTATATCTCCCCCCAATTACAATTCGGAATTAGGATAATTTTCTTACTTTGTAAAAGTATGATTACAAGATAAGTGTTCAATAGCAACCCTACAAACCATAACAGTTTGATGTTGATTCAATCCCTTCTCTTCTTTTGATCTTCAACAAGACCAAGACACAATAACTACCAACTAATTTATCGAATCTTGTTACTCTTTTAGGTACCAAACTCCAAAGCTCTTTTGTGCACGATCAATTGTACCTATTGCATACAAGACACTTCAATTTGATTCTTCGTTCTCGCGCTACTTCCTTGGATACCAAACTCCGAAGGCTTTTCACTAGACTGCAATCCTCTCTTGAATGTATTGCATGAAAACCCCCAAATCCATCAAAGATCTTGGAAGATAAAGCCGCGGTTTTTCCGGATGAAATCCTATGCAAATCTCAACCCAATATTCTCGACTACACAAGAACCTAATTTGACGTTATCAAACCTCGCCTAGATGGTACACTGACAAAAGATGATTATATGTGATTTATCAGTGTGCATGCATATGTTTGATGTTGAAGGTGAAGAGAAAATGCAGTAAGTGTTTATAATTTCATCAAGTTGGAATGAAGAATGTATGATGTATTTATAGTTGGGAAACTTTGGCGGCAAAGAGGGAAACTTCAGAATTGAAAAAATATAAAAATTTTGACCCATGTAACAGTATGTGCCGACCTAAAAAGCTTATGTGCCAACCTGAAAAGAAGATATGTCGGCATATACAAGTGTGTTTTGTGCCGAAAATTATTTTTCATGATTTT